AACTCTGGTGCTCTTCCCAGCACAGTTTCCCACCTCTCTCTTTCAACGTGCGTCTTTAACCACCTGCCAGACAAGCCAGAGATGCAGCAAACGCATCTCAGACCGTAGGGGAAGATGTGCACAGGCAGAATGGGAGCAGCCCAGGCTGAGCCTGGCTCTGCGCTTGGCGGTGGGTGCCCAGTCATGAGGTCCCTGCTGTTGGCTGGTTCATTTGTGAAATGGGGCTGCCGGGATGCTCCAGTGGGACAATGTGTGTCAGCACCCAGGAAGTCATAGCTATGAGTGTTGGTGTTAAATGAAGATTGCCCAGGCTGAGAGTGGGGAATAGGAGACTTCAGCAGGTGGGCCCAAGCTCTTTGATTTCTTATGTGGCAGGACACTGTGGGGCCTGGTCTGCCTGCCAGCAGCACCCTCGGAGCTGGACAGTGGAGCTGAAGGCCTTGACCCCAGAGGATCTACCGGCTTTGGGGCAAGAGGCTGGGCAGGAGGGCCAGTCCACATGGTCTCACCCTGTCCTGCCCTGCCCCTCTCTGTGCTCCGTACTCCTGCTCTGAGCCCAGGGTCTGCAACTCCTGGCTCACCCGAGGCTCAGGAGATGAGAAGAGGGCGGCCGGCACGCACCGAGCGCATCGCATCCCCGTTTGGGGGACTGTGCCTTCCGTTCTGGCCATGGCTTGAGCTGCCTTGCTACTGCATTGGAGCAGGCACGCAGACCACACAGCATTGAGACCTGACAAACAATCAGGCTGCCAACTCCTCACACCGTACGGTGTTCCCTTTTTATGAGCACTCTACAGTTTACAGAGTGCAGTCACAGCCTCATCTCATGCCCTCAGACAGCCCAGTGTGGCTGCAGGCGCTTGGATGTAGCTTTGCCTAACTTTTATTAAATTGTTCGGAGCGTCTGCATCGGTTAGGGAAGCCCTTCTGCTCTCCACCTCACACACCCCCTTAAGTGAGTTCCAATTCCAGTCACTAACTGATGTGCACATGAATTCCACACTGTTGTGGACTGGGCATCGCACAGCAAGTGGCAGACTCAGGACACCTTCTCAGATCTTTTGACTCCTGTGTCATTGCCCTTTCTTTGACATCAAGAGATAAAGGATATGAAATATTACATTTTATCAAATTTCCCCAGTGTGAACATAATACTTTATGTCAAGGCGGTCTGATCAGCTAGACCAAATAGTGGACAACAGGCACAGTCCCCAAAGAGCTGACGGCCGAGCTGTGAAGACAACCCCATGCCCTACCACCCAGCACCAGGGATGGCTGGCGGGGTGTGGGGCAGGCTGTCCCGTTCTCAGGTGGGGGAGAGATCACTGAGAGCTGAGGAGACCAGGGAAGGTGTTAGGGGAGAAGTGGAACTGATGGAACCCGTGAAGGACGGGCAGAAGGAGGAAGGAGGGCAAAGGGTATTTAAGAGCATGGCCAAGGGTATCCATGGCATGTTCTGGGGACAGCATGGACCCCATCTGAACAGAGTGCAAAGGCCCTGTAGGATTATGGTTATTATTATTATGTATTATTATATTATGTGTTAAGCTACTTGCTAAACCACGTTAGGTCTTGCTGATAAGGGGGTCTAGGTAACTATTTTGTTCTATTAAAAAGGATGCTAAGAAAGAATGGAAATAGACCAGAACAATTTACATGCTACTTCATAGCTTTAAAAATATTACTTATATGTTTTATAAAATTATCCAAAAAAAACTTATCAAGAATTTGTAGCCACACTTTCAGTGCTGAATTGACTTACGGGCTCTGTCCCCCTTTGGGCAGAATGGCTTTCAGCCCCGGGAACACTTCGTTCTCTGCCAAAGGGCCTGGTTAGTCTGGGCAGGTGCTGGCCGCCTGCAGAGATGCCAGGCTCTCGCCATCACTGAGGCTTGGGTTCCCCATCTCTAAGGGCAGGGACAGTAAGACGGACTTTGGAAGTATCTTTCCCTCCCTGCTCCCTGCCCACTTTTCTCTCCTTCCTTCCTCTTGCCCTCCCTTTCTATGCTCCCTTCCTCTCAGAATCCTTTCTTTGCTCCCTTAGCACAACTCATTCATGGGTAAAGCAATCATTCATTCATTCATTCTGAAGCCTAGCACTGTGCTCAACACTACACAGGTTTCAAAAGAAGCACGAGGTCAGTCCTTGCCTCCAAGAGTTTACTGTCTCCCTGGGAAGATGGGGTTGAAACACAGGACAATTTGAGGACGGTTCCAATGAATGGAGGGCCTGCGGATCCACCACCACGCACGGCCATGGGTGTTCAGAGCCAGGACGGCACCACAGGGCTGGAGCAGGGAGCAGGCTCCAGGGAAAAGGCCAGGCTGGGGCTTGGCCCCCAGTGGCCATGGGGATGGCCTCAGGCCTGGAGTGGGAAGGCCTGGGCTTCAGGCTCCCTGGGAAGACCATGAGGATGTTGGGTCAAGCATTCACCATCCTGGGAGTTGGCACCCTTCTTTCCCTGGCTGAGTGGCAGGGTGTGTGGGAGCCTTAAAGGAGAGGGTGCACCTCGAACAGCTGTACAGATGCTAGTTCTGCTGGCTCTGCTGCTCACTAGCTGTGTGACCTCGGGCAGGCTCCTGAAGCATTCCAAGACTCAGTTTACTCATCTATTAGATGGGGATATTGGTGACACTGATTTCATGAGGTTGTTGTGAGGGGTGAAGGAGAGAATGCATGGAGAGAGCTCAGCTGCTGTGCAGGGCCTGGCAGGTACTAAGCACTCCGTGAATGAAGGCTGTTACCATTAGCCTCATTATTAATAGGGCTGGGTCAGGGAGAGAAACCCCTTCCAGGCAGCACAAGTGTGGAGCCCTGCCTGGGAACCCAAGTGACCCCTGGGGGTATAAACAGCATGGGGCTTCCTAGGCCTTCACTGCTGTGGCTGCTCTGGGCTCTCTGGCTCCTGAGTGGCCCTGTTGAGCCCAGAGCACATTTCTAGGAGGCTGGGGCTCAGCAGGGCTTGGGTGGAGCCCTGTACCCACATGGGTGGGAAACACAAATGCTCAAAGAGGTGCAGCCAGGCTCTCAGCTCAGCTGCGTCTTTGCACTGGGGCATGGATTTCCAGGGAGGAGAGGCCGAGGCAGCCAATGGGGCCCTGGATTGGGCTGGGCGGGTGCCGGTCACACCAGGTCCCTGGGCGTGGGAAGCGCACAGTGACTCATGGGAGCTCTATACTGGAGGGCCCCAAACACATGCACCTGGCCTGTGTTTGGTGGCCTGTGTGCTCAGAGTCCATCCCCACTCCCTAGCGACAGCTGCTTAGCATCACCAATCTGAGTACAACAAGACCCCACCTGTGTGGGGACTGGCAATCAGCAGCTGCCGTGACTGAGCACTCACGACGAGCAGGTGCTGTTCTAGATGCTCCAAACTCATGTAACCTCACAGCAGCCCTGGGAGGTAGGTACCATCCTCCTCTTCCCAGTTCACAGGGGAGGAAAGGGAGATGGAGAGAAGCTAAGTCACACAGTTGCTATGTGGTGGGGCTGGGATTTGAACCCACAGAGTTCACATGTAACCATGATGCTGGGCTGCTTCTCCTAGGACACTGTGGCTGTTGGCCATCCCCTTGTGGAGCCCACCCAATTCCATCCTTTCTGTTCTCCATGGAGCCCGACCACATCCGGCAGCCCTGATGGGATTCTGGAGCAGAGGTGGAGGTGGGTGGTGTAGTGGAGAGGGCCAGGCCAGACTCGGGTTGGCATCTTGGTTCTGCCAGTCACTAGCTGGTGGCACTTCAGCAAGCTCTTATCGTCCCCGAGTCTTGGTTTCCTCAGCTTTGAGGTGGGGATAACAAGCTTGGGCTCAATATGAGGATTAACACGGTACTCCGCTCATGGTCGTTCTCCAGATGGGAAGATGATGCATGTCTCTAGAAGAAGAAGCAGGACCCCAGACTGCGGGCCAACCGGAACGGAAGTCCCACAGGGCTCTGCCTGATGAGCCCCCTCCCCAGCAGCACCCGCCCTCTGGCTCAGCTCCCAGGCCCTCTCCCAGGTCTCACTTGCTTGGCAGATTGGATTTGCTGGGAAAATAACCCACCCTTGTCAAGCTTTCTGGGCACCAGTCCAGACAACCTGCATAGCAGGGAGAAACTCTGAAGGTTAGGCTCTCTGTGCCTCCCGAGCAGGCCTGTGAATCAAGGCCACTCCCCTGTCCCCAGGCAACCAGAGGGAAGGCTTGTCCATTTTTCCGCCAGGGCCTGGGAAGACATACCTCCCTACGCATGGGAGGGGTCACCACGGGCAGGTGCTCAGTTAGTCAGCCTCTGGTCATTCTGGCTGGAGCTGAGGCTACACAAGCAGAACAGATTTCCTGGTGAGGGACGGAGTGGGGATGTGTCATTGAGGCTTTGCTGTATCTGGGGTGACCAAGCACTCCATTTTGCCTGGGACTAAGGAGTTCTCTGGGGACTAAGGAGTTCTCTGGGATATGGGGTTTTATCACTAAAACCAGAACAATCCTGGTGAGAGCGGGATAGTTGATCCCCATAGCCATATTTCTTAGGCCATTCTAGAACCTTCTATGTCTCTTCGGGTGTGAGGCCCCTGCCTTCTTGCAACCAGTAGACTTGGACTTCCATCACTCAGGTACCAACCCAGAGGCCTCCTCTACTCTCTTGGGTCCATAAAAGGAGGCAATGCTGGAGAAAGTCAAGACAGTGGCTGGACTCCCACACCTCTTAACGAGGAGTCTGAGGTCTGGGCTCTGATGACAGGCCCCTTTGAAGAACAGACGGAGACTTGGTCTCCCGGGCGACGTGGGACGATGGAGATGAGTCTTGACGTAGCCGCCAGTCCAACGGGGCTCCTTTTTTATGAGGCCGGGAAATGTTCATGGGGAGCTAAATAACAGGTTAATGAGGGGTTCTGATGGAAAGTGGTATTAACTTTAATGAGGAGAAAACACTTTGAAAAGGCCAACACCCACTGGGGCAGAGATATAAACCCGGATGAGGCGCTGCTTCTCTGCATCGGGGGTGTCTGGCTTTGGTGATCCATCGCTTGTGTCCGGGCTGCTGAGAACATGGCTTCCAAATGCCTCAAGGCCAGCTTCTCTTCGGGGTCTCTCAAGGTCCCAGGAGGGGCCGGTGGGGGCTCCGCTCGCATGTCCACCATGTACTCCAGCAGCTCTTGCAGGCTCCCGAGCCTCTCCCGGGGGGCCCGGAGCTTCTCTGCCTGCTCAGTTGGGCTGGGCAAGAGCAGCTGCAGGGCCGCTAGCTGCCTCCCTGCTCTCTGCCTCCCCTCCGGAGGCTTTGCCACCAGCCTCAGCATGGGCGGGGGCTGGTTTGGGGAGGGCATCCTCACCGGCAACGAGAAGGAGACCATGCAGTCCCTGAACGACCGCCTGGCCAGCTACCTGGAGAAGGTGCGCCAGCTGGAGCAGGAGAACGCCAGCCTGGAGAGCCGCATCCGCGAGTGGTGTGAGCAGCAGGTGCCTTTCCTGTGCCCTGACTACCAGTCCTACTTCCGGACCATCGAGGAGCTCCAGAAGAAGGTAAGGGGTTCAGAGTGGTTTTCGCTGCCCGCCAGCACAGGTGCCACCAGCACTGGAGTGGAACCCAGAACATCTGTGGTGGTAACCCTGCTCCCATGGGGCACTTCAGAGGTCACACAGCATGGTCACATCTGTGGCCTCATTGCTCCTCACGATAATCCTATGAGGGAGGTACCACCAGCCCACTTACAGATGAGAACACTGAGGCTCAGGCTGGTCAAGTGACTTATTCAAAGTGATCCAGTTGGCAGTTGGTGGAGCCAGGCCTTGAACACAGGCTCTCTGAACTTGTGTGGTCTTTGGTACCACAGCCCCCCTCTCTGCATTTCAATTGCTTCATTTTTTTTTTAAGGTGAAGGGATTGGATTTGATGTGTCTGGTGCAGATTGGGTTTCCTATAACCAACTCGGGGAAGGAAAGCCTGCCAGAAGTTTCCTTCTTGCCAAGACTGCATCCCCTGAATGTCCCAGCTTGCTCCTGAGAGGGACCATGTATGTTCAGGGAAGCAGAGAGGATGATGCTCTTGGTCAAGACCTTCCTGAGCCCCTGGCAGCCTGGGAGATAGGAAGACACACCGGGTCTTCCCTGCAGCCTTTCCACACGGCCCTCTCTCTACCCCAGGTCATGGGTCACAGGCGCACTGCCTTGGAGGGGAACTTAGAGGTTTCCTGGTCTGAACCCGATAGCACGCCTAAGCCTTCGTGGATCCTCAGCTGCCAAGAGCCCAGGGATGGGTGACCCCCTCCCTCCAAAGGCCACCCAGACCAGCGTTGGGGAGCTCAGGAAGCAGAATGTCCTTTCTTTCCCTGAAGTCACTTCTTTATCTCCCCAGACCCTGTGCACCAAGGCAGAGAACGCCAAGCTGGTGGTGCAGATCGACAATGCCAAGCTGGCTGCAGATGACTTCAGGACCAAGTGAGTTGTCCTGCTCGCCCCTTGGTTGGGGGCTGGTAGAACTGGATGTTGGTGATGCCCAGACTCAGGGTTTTGGTTGCACCAAGTCACTGAGGCATTAAGGCAGGACACACAGCACCAGGCCAGTCTGGGGTGGCATCTGACTTAAGTATAAGAAGGAAATGCATCTTCAGGTGCTCTGATGTGTGCCTGCCAGGTATGAGACGGAGGTGTCCATGAGGCAGCTGGTGGAGTCAGACATGAACGGCCTGCGTAGGATCCTGGATGATCTGACCCTGTGCAAGGCTGACCTGGAGGCCCAGGTGGAGTCCCTGCAGGAGGAGCTGCTCTGTCTCAAGAAGAACCACGAGGAGGTGAGCATGGGGGAGGAGGTGAGCAAGGGGGAGGAGGTGAGCATGGGGAAAAGGTGAGCTTGGGGGAGAAGGGTGAATGAGGCAGCCAGCTGGGAAAGTTAGTGTTGACCCTTGTCTGTGCCACAGGAAGTGAACTCACTGCGCTGCCAGCTGGGTGACCGGCTCAACGTCGAGGTGGATGCTGCTCCACCTGTTGACCTGAACCGTGTTCTGGATGAGATGAGGTGTCAGTATGAGACCCTGGTGGAGAATAACCGCCGGGATGCTGAAGATTGGTTCGACACCCAGGTAGGGACCTGGAAACAGTCAGTGCAACAGAAACATGGGGTGGGGTGGGGGGGTGATGGGGTCACACAGAGTGACCCTGGGGTTCTGAATCAAGAAACCTGAATTTGTGTCCAGCTCTGTTTCAACCTCACTGCACACCCTGGGCAGGCTGTTGTCCTCTAAGCAACAATGTCCTCAAGTGTGAAATGAATGGTTGGACTGGGTGATCTGGAAGGTCCTTCTTGGCTCATGACTCTAAGTGGCCTCTGTCGACCTCTGAAGCTGAGTCCCCAGTGTTCCTGACCAGGTGCTGTGTGTATGTTTCAGACGGAGGAGCTGAACAGGCAGGTGGTGTCCAGCTCGGAGCAGCTGCAGTCCTGCCAGGCAGAGATCATCGAGCTGAGACGCACGGTCAACGCCCTGGAGATCGAGCTGCAGGCCCAGCACAGCACGGTGAGCCCGAGACTCAAGCAGAGCTGCTGAGAGACCAGGCCTAGCATCACACAGGCCTCCCGACCTCCGTGCTCTGACCTCACAGGCAGGCTCCAGGGGTTCAAGTTCTCGAGCATCAAGGATTTTCTGTGTAGAGAAGAGGAAATGAGGACTCAGCCCCCATTCATAAATCTCTCAGTGGTAAAAGACAGGGGACCTGTAGCAACTGACAAGCCCCGGTAGCAGCTCCTGGGTTTGTGTAAACAGACACGTTCAGAGTAATTGCCAGTTACTCAGAGATATCATTAACAGAGGAGATACTCCTCAGATCAAGTTGGTTACAGGGGCTAATTGGCTCATCTCAAATGAGATGTCTGATTGTGGTTCGCCCTGACTCAAAGTGATTCTCTGAGCTTTCGTTCTTGGATTCCGAGGCGTTACTGAGACCCAGATGGATCAAGCACATCTTCCTTGCTCCTTCTCTGACCTCTAACCTTTTTTGTCCCTAAAATCCTTGCCCTCAGAGAGATGCTTTGGAATCCACCCTGGCGGAGACGGAGGCGCGCTACAGCTCCCAGCTGGCCCAGATGCAGGGCCTGATCAGCAACGTGGAAGAGCAGCTGGCCGAGATCCGGGCGGACCTGGAGCGGCAGAACCAGGAGTACCAGGTGCTGCTGGACGTCAAGGCCCGGCTGGAGTGTGAGATCAACACGTACCGGGGCCTGCTGGAGAGCGAGGACTGCAAGTGAGTGCCCCTGCATGCTTGCTCGCCTTCTGAATGAATCCACAGAGCCCTGGGAGACAGCACGGTGCCTGGTTAGAACCCAGCATTTGCAGTCAGGTGCCCTGCATTGTAGTTCTGGTCTTGTTACAAATTCATCACATGACCCTGGCAAGCCTTTTTCTCTCTGGGCCTCCATGTCCCCATTGGTAAAACAAGGAGGCACGACCAGGTGATTTTTAAGGTGCTCTGAGTTACTGAAAACAGCAAATGGAAAATCATAGTAATCTGACCTTTTTCTTTCTCCTAGGCTTCCCTGTAACCCGTGCACCCCTGACCACTCGCCCTCCAAGTCCTGCCTCCCCTGTCTTCCTGCGGCCTCCTGTGGGCCTGGAGCAGCCCGCCCAACCTGCAGCCCCCGGCCCATCTGTGTGCCCTGCCCGGGGGGCCGGTTCTAAGAGTGACTGGCCCAGAAAGCCAAGGCCATGGTCTCCAGGGCTTGGCCTTGGCCTCTATTCAGCCCTAAGCCTAAAGCCCAGTCGCCTCTCTCCATGTGGAGCCCAGGGCCTGGCCCTGAGAGCGCTCACGGCAATTCACGCCTTAGAGTTTCTCAATGCCTGTCATGAGGCTGGCCGCAGCTGGAGGCCGCAACTCTTATCATTTCAAAGGGTGCCGGGTGTCTGTTCTCAGGCTGCCTCCTGGGTCAGCTTTTCCTTCTGGGTGCCATTTCAGTGGGTTCTGAAGTGCAACTGAGGGCTTCTATTGGCAGAACAATAAAGCTCACGTGCTCTGGAAGCCCAACTAGCACGTTCTGGTATTGTTGGTTTGTGTCTCTGCTGGGTGAAGAGGGGTGACTCCTGGGCAGAGGCACAGGGGTCATTTGACCATGTATGACCCTGGGGACGACAGGGTCCCTATGCCCCTGTTTGGGTGCAGAGAGGCCTATAGTGAGGCTTTTTGCTCAGCTTTCCTGATGAAGATGCTTCTCCAAGATTCCAATGTGGTGACGGGTGTCAGAGACCTCTCTTACTCCCCGTCTTAGTGTCCACGCTCATGGGATCCCAGAGGAGCATGGATAAGGCTGAGACCAGTACGACTGGAGGCATTTCAGGCCACCTTTAGCCTCAGGCCTGCGGTCCTTCTAAGAACAGCAATATGGACTCTCACCCAGGGAAGCCTCAGGAGCGTGTTTGCATCAACTCCCGCTTCACTGCAGCCCTTTCACACAGCCCTTCCGGTTCAGCAAAGCCCCTTAAAATCCACACACCATTAAAAGCAGGAGAGTCTTGTCCTTGAGACTCATCACGTTCTTGTGCAGCCTTGGCATCTGGTGAGGCACACAGTGCCTTTGGGTACCAAAGCATTTCTGTATGGAAGTGGGAGCTCCCAGCATCCTGATCCAAAGGTTCTCATTTGTGTCCAGAATGTCCTCCCCTAACAGACCAGGCAAAGACCAAGCTCCATCTATTCCAGTGGGAAATGGAGAAGGATGAAGGCAAAACTTTCTGAGATAGACAGAAAGGCGGGTTGTCCCCAGATGTCCATGTGCCCTTCATAAGATGCTGAGAGCTCTGCTAAGGAACTTCAGGGATACTGAGAGAGTTGTAACAGCGCCCAAGGTGGAGAACAGATTGGTGAAAGATGCTGACCAAGGTGGGCCTGAGGCCCCCACCCCTCAAGGGTGCCCAGTATAGTTCACCCTGATTCAGTGTAGATTCCCCCGCCTTTCTAAGCCCCTGTAAAGGAGGCCCTGGGCTTTGAGTTCTCCCAGCCTCCTCTCTCCTGGCTCGCTGCACCACCTCAGCTTCAGTCTTCTTGGAACACCTTGGCTGGTTTTGCTGAGGCTCAGTCACCTGAAGAAGATGGCCATCTTGGGATCATTCAGTCATTCAACAAACCCACACCGAGTGCTTCCCTGGGCCAGGCAGTGCATTAGGTGCCAGGAACAGGATTGACCCTCACTGGAGGGAGGCCTAGGGATGGCACATGAAGGACGCCCACTCACTGCCTCTTTTCCTTCCAGGAAAAGAGGAGACCAGCTACAGGGGGCCATGGTGTTAGTGTGATGAATGTGGGCTCCAAAAGTGAGTCAGACTGCCCTAGAGTCAAATCCCGGCCCCACCACTTACCGTCTGTGGGAGCTTTAGCAGGTGGCAGTCCCTTCCTGAGTCTCAGTATCCTCATCAAAAAAATAGAGAACGTGACGCTTACTGTGCTATAATCCCTAATGCTTTGCTGAGCACATGCTGGGCTTGTGAAAGCCGATCAACATTGTTGATTCTGTTCTAGCTGGGTGCCTGGATCGCTCTGATAGTGGGCACCCACCTTTTCCTTGTCCGGGGTTTCATTCATTTCTGAGGTTCGTTCTGAGCAGCAATGCCCAGGGTAAAGCAGGCCAGCCAAAGTGGACGTGGAGTTATATGACTTGTTGTCCAATTCTGACTTGGAGCAAAGTCAGTGCCGGAAGCCATGGCAGCAAGCAGCACACGGATGCTCTCTTGAGCATATGGCTCCAGTGAACTGTTTTACATAAACCACATGCTTCCTCTTTATGGCATCCTTTGTGGTACAAGCGCCTTCCAAGCTCCTCCTGACTCCCCCCAAGATATGCTACCCAGATCCTGTGTAGCCGTGCCTCTAATTATTGTTTACTCCCTTTGCTTGTGCTTTTAAATTATGATGCTCTTTCCATTCGGCCTGAGGTTCTCAGCCTTGGCTGCACTTTGGAATGACCTGAAGAACTTTAAAAAAATATGGATTTCTGGTCTCACCCCCAGAAATCCTGACTTAGTTGGTCTGGAATGTGGCCTGGCGCTGGAGTTTTTCAAAGCTCTTCAAGGGTTCCCCTGTGCGGCCAGGGCCGAGAGCTCCTGCATTAGTGGGGGGGCCTCTGGGCAAGGCAGCTGGGGCAACAGGCCTCTCAGTGCAGCTCGGACCCAGACCTTAGTGCCATCTGATCCCAGATTGTACTTGTGACTCTTCCTTAGTTCTGGCTTTTTTCTCTCCTTTAATTTCAAACAACTGAACCGAATTTTTAATTTCAGTTTCTGTACTTTTAATTCCAAAGAGCTATTTTTTGTTCTCTGTTCCTCTTTTATAACATCCAGCTCTTGTTTCAAGGATGTAACTGCTATACTGATCTCCGAGATTATTAAAAAAATATATTTATCTATCTTAATAGATTGTTGCAGATTCTGCATTGTTTTGTTTTCCCCAATTTCCTCTTTTTCACTGTTTTCTTTGTTTGCTTGTTTTGTTTTGTCTCTGCTTTTCATGTTGGAAACTTCTCTCAAATGTCTGGGATCCTTCTGTTTGTATGTAAGGACGAGACACTAGAAAGCTGATGGAGCGTGCTATGTACACGGGCAGGTTGGCAAATTGGCTTTTTGGCTGGTAGAACTACCTAAATTCAGTTTTTGTAAGTCTTTCCTCTGGAGTCATTTTGTTTTTTCAAAGAGCGGAGGGTAGGAGCTGGTCTTGGGCCTGGACACGCCTCCTGCCTGCCCTTACTTGAGAAGGCCCTTCATCCTGGACCTATTTAGCCCAAACTCTCACCAGTATTCCTTCCTGTTTTCTCCCACTTGCTTGGCTTTTTCTGCATCACTTTCCCTTCTCTCCCTCTCCTTTTTCTAATAAATATATTTGCTCAATAGCTCGCTTTGGCCTCAGAGGGGCTGGGCTCCAGTGAGAGCCTTTGGATTCAGATGGATCTAATCTGGACCCACTGTGAGCCTGCCCTGGGGCTGCCTTTCCTGGCCCCCACTTCTTCCACGAAATGTCCCCCAGGTCTGGCACACTGGCCGGACATCTAGTCTTTGAACACTCTGCTCTCGTTTTTCGCACCACTCTGATGTGAAACTCAGTCCTTCCTTCACAATGTAAAATACTGCTCACGCCAAGCATCTGAATTTGGTGGTCTTTGCTGAAGATCTCTTGGGGACCATGAGGTGGGACTGTGTCACACAGGTCACAGCCTCTCACCACCTTCCTGGTGCCTCTCTTCCTGGCTCCTGCCTCTCTCTCCTCTCACTCCTTCCTGCCACGATTGCCCTGGGAGCTTCAAACTCTTCTCCTCTTTCTCCCTCTGATGTCTTGCTAGCCAGCATCAAGGCACTTGGGGTCCCGCCTTCTACCCCAACAACTTCTTAATGCATTTTTTCAAGTAAAGACAATTCTTTCTGCAAGAGGAATTCTGGCGGCAAGCGTTAAGATACACACACTCCTATACCTCAGCGGTGCTCCAAAGCGCCTGGAGGACTCGTTAGACACAGATGGTGGGGCCCTACCCTCAGGGTTTCTGATTCAGTTGGTCTGGGGTGGACCCAGAAACTGCGTTTCTAACATGGTCCTGAGTGATGTTGATGCTGCGCGTCTGGAGACCACACTTTGAGAACCCCTCCTACACCTGCTTACAGTAATTATATTGTAATTTATTTTGGTGAGGATTAAACGGGCAAATTAATGCCAAGCACCCAGCACAGTACCTGGCACTTATGTATGTTACATAAGTACTGGTTATGATTTTAAAGAGTGGTCTGATGAGTCTCATTCCACGTGGTTGCTGTCACAGCTCCTTCTGTCTAATGCCACTGTCTTCTCTAAACAGTTAATCCAGACAAAGGAACTGGAATTTATGATTGTTGCAGGAAATCAAACTGAGAGATAATCTAGTCTAACCCTTTCAATTTGCATGAGGAAACAGAGGCCAAGAGAAGTGACTTCCCCAAGATCACACAGCAAGTTAGAAGGTAGCATCTCTATCTTGACTTTTCTTAAGCAACAAATTTTGGGGACTATGGCTGGGTGGCATTTGCCCTTCGCTGCCGCTTCACCAACACTTCTAGAAATACATGAAAAATAAGAAAGTACTTATACTCCAATATTTTACTGAGAAGATTAATGAATAAAAAGTGTCTATGTAACACACACATCTTAGACAGGAAGTGTGTGAGCCCACAAGTACTGCAGGCAGGACTGAGGACCCCTGGTCCTGCCCATTGCTTTCTTAAGGAATGCCCAAGGCTTCTATAATTGGGGACATGCTTCCAGACTTAGCTCATCTTGGGGCTGCATAGTGTGGCTTCTCAAGGGAGCTGGTTCATGCTGCTTCCGGTCTCCGAGGTCCTGGAGTGAGCCCTCCCTGGCCACCACTGCAGAAAGCAAAAGCAGAGTCTGTTCCAGCCTGTCCAAGCTCAGTCTGTTCAACAATCATCGAACTTGTGACAACTCTGCGCGTGGAGCAGCAAGAAATGGAGGGGAGGATCCAGAGATGCTCAAGACGGAGCATCTGCCTCAGAGAGATCTTCACGACATTGATCTCCTTTCCCAAGAGTATGGTCCTCCCGTCTCTGTTTCTCAGTCGTGTCCAGTTGGAAGGATGTCCCTGATTCTTAGGCTCTCTGTCTGTGTCCTGAGTTTGTTCTCTCCTCCCTGATTGTATTTTCTTCCTCTTGGTAGGAAGACAATGCGTGCTAAGAAGCCTCAGACGTTCTTTCTCCTTTCTCCCTGGATTTATACCACTGCCAGTATGGGTGCAGCTTCTGTCTCCCACACATTTCCTCTTTAAGGGGCCAGGCCTCTTCTGACAGGGAATGCTCCCATTAAAAGGAGCAGCCACTGCCCCACAGAACTGTGGCCTTTCTCAGGGCCGGAGCCGGTGGGGGCGCAGGGGGCAAGGCCACTAGTGGCCCAGGGCCAGGCTGCTGTGGTATCCTGGCAGCCCTGCCCTGGTAATGAGGGCCCAGGCGTGGAGGCGATCCTTTGAAGATGTGTCCTGCAGCCCTCCCCTGGCGATCAATGACAGGAGCCCAGAGTCCTGCTTTAGCCAAATGACAAGCTTGGCCTCTTTTATGAGGAAAGAAACTCCTTATTGGAAACCAAATTAAAAATTAATTAGCAGCTTCTTCTGGGGCTGGGTATAAACATCAACATCCATGATGACTTTCTAGCAGGAGCCCCCTCACTCCAAGGGTATAAAAAGGCCCAAGCAGGATGCGGTCTTGTAGACACTGGTGATCCAGGTCACTGCAGCTGAGGAGAAGGGGCCTCCCCAACATGACATCCACCTGCTCACCGGCCTCCACCAAGAGCTGCCCCCGGCCCTCCTCTGTGTGCTCCAGCAGCAAGAGCTGCCGGCCTGAGCTGTGCCTGGGTTATGTCTGCCAGCCCGTGACATGCGTGCCTTCCGTCTGCATGCCCACCACCTACCGGCCGGCCAGCTGCCTTTCCAAGACGTACCTCTCCAGCTCCTGCCAGCCCAGCAGCTGCCGGCCAACCAGTGGCATCTCCAGCTCTCTGGGTACCTGCAGCTGGTACTGTGAAGGGACCTTCAATGGCAACGAGAAGGAGACCATGCAGTTCCTGAACGACCGCCTGGCCAACTACCTGGAGAAGGTGCGCCAGCTGGAGCGGGAGAATGCAGAACTGGAGAGCAAGATCCAAGAGGCCTGCCAATCTCAGGTGGTCACCATGTGTCCTGACTACCAGTCTTACTTCCGGACCATCGAGGAGCTCCAGCAGAAGGTGAGGGCAAGCGGTGAAGAGACTTGTTGGGAAGGTGATGGGAAGAGCTGGCATTCCAGATTTGAATCTCATTAATTTACTAAACTATGTTCAGAGAAAAGAGACTTCCCCAGGGCACGGGATTATCTCACAATTTGAGCGCTCAGCCAGGCCCCTTAACGAGGAAAGAGGCCTGGGATGTAGTCTCAGTTCTCCCATTGATTCATGGCATGACTGGGAGGTCCCTTCCCTTTTCCAGGCCTCAGTTTCCTCATCTGTAAAATGGGGATCATAATGGTCCTTACCTAATGGGGCTGTCGAGAGGATTCCGTGAGTTGATGCAGGTGAAGTGTTGAGCGCAGCCCCTGGTACGTGGTGAGTTTTCAGTAAATGTCAGTGCTCGTTAAGGACCCTTCTAACTGTTGCATGAAAGACATCAGACTTAATGAGATTTTTTCCTTTCACATTGCTCATTGCATCCAAAATGGGCATTTGGATTTGTGAAGACCCAGGTGCTTAAAAAATAAATCTCCTGTTCTCCAAGGACTCGTCGTTCATTAAATATCCCCCAGAGTTCCAGGGGCTTCCACAGGGATGGCTGCGAGGCTGCAGGGCCCATCAGCTGTTGTCTCCTCATTTGGGTTCTTTTTCCTTCCTCTCATCCCAGACTAACCCCCTCTCTGTGCCTTGGCCCCCAGGTTCTGTGCACCAAGGCAGAGAATGCCAGGATGGTTGTGCACATTGATAATGCCAAGCTGGCTGCTGATGACTTCAGGACCAAGTGAGTTTGGCCGGGGGATGGGGGGGGGGGTCCCCTCTCCCTGTACAAGCTTGGGCAGCTTTCCATTAGTTTCACAGAGAGTTGGAAAAGCACCCGCAGGACAAGGTCTTCCCTGAATTCTGTATTCAGTTTTACCCCTCTGCTGCTGACCCTGTCCTTGCACAGGTACGAGACGGAGCTGACCATGCGGCAGCTGGTGGAAGCCGACACTAACGGCCTGCGCAGGATCCTGGATGAGCTGACCCTGTGCAAAGCTGACCTGGAGATGCAGGTGGAGTCCCTGAAGGAGGAGCTGCTCTGCCTCAAGAAGAACCACGAGGAGGTGAGCCCGGAAGTCAAGTTAAGGTGACCCTGGGAAGCGGGGTGGGAAGAATGTGGGCTTTTGGGTTGGGTAGATGTGGGTTGAAATTCCCAGGCCTGCAGCATATTGTTTCTGGGACTTTGCCCAATTTATTTAACCTTTCTGAGCCTCCTCAGCTCAACTCTGTCATGCAGTGTTGCTGCGAGACTTGAATGAGGTCATGAGTGTCAGACATCTTTCACTTGGTCAGTGCACAGAAATGCTAGCAAGCTTCCTTCTGCATTTCCTGCATGTGCGTGACAGCCACACGCTTGTGGTGACGGCATTTGTTTTTCTCATGAGAGCCACATACCAGGGTAGAACGGTGCACTAGGGACGGAGGGGGTTGTGTTCTGGAACCCATAAGGAATGGCCTGTCCATCTCTGCTAGGCTGGATCGCTGGTGGTGACCCCCATCTCTTCTAAGAGACAGTTGAACTACAGCGGTTTTCTTCTTTTTTCTGTCTCAATCCTTGTTCCTCTTCCTCTCTTCTGTCTGCATATAATATACTTAATCCAAAAGCCACAGGTTGACCCTAGGCTTTCCGAGTTCTCCTCATCTCCTGCAGGTCCTCGGAGGGAAACCCTTCCCCGCTGGGCCCCTGTAAAGCCCACCTGGGCTCTGTGGTTTTTCCCTCCTTCCCTGGGTTGACTCTCAGCCTCTTGACTTGGGGTTTGAAAGAACAAGTGCCTCTGAGTCCTGGCTGGGTTTCCTTAGGCTTAAGTGTAAAGTAACACTCAGTCATCACTACTCGCTGAGCGCCCTAAGGCACCTGACTCATCCCAATTAAATCAGAGGACTGGGAACCCCACCAAGAAGTCACTAACGAGGCATCATCACACACTCTGGCAGCCTCGGCGACAACTTTCTCTCCTTGGCAGCTGGGCCTGGGGAGGTGCCTGAACCGAGCAAAGCCAGGCTCCTGCCGCCCTCCTTCCCAGACGAACGCAGGCTGGGAGTGTAGCCAGGCACACAGGGCACAGGTTTCCCGTTTTAGCCCAAATGGACCAAACGAACTGTGACGCTGCTCTTGGCTTCCGCCAAAGTGACAGGAAGCGTTTAGCTGGAGTGCTTCTCCCATCATGGGTGTGTCCGGCTGGAGCTGGAAGACCAACCAGATACTGCAGAGTGGACTGCGGCCCTCAAAGGGCCCCTCTAACCTAGAGATCTTCTGTTCCATCTTTTCTCGTCTCCCAGGGGAGATGAGCTGGGATTGTGTGACTTGCCTGGGGCTCTTGTGCCTTTTTAGGAAGTCAGCGCCCTTCGATGCCAGCTTGGGGACCGCCTTAACATTGAGGTGGATGCCGCGCCCCCTGTGGACCTGAACAGGATGCTGGAAGAGATGCGGTGTCAGTATGAGACGGTGGTGGAGACCAACCGCAGGGATGTGGAGGAATGGTTCAACACGCAGGTGGGCCTCCCGCAGGTGGGCTGGCCCCCCCCCCCCGCCCAGTGTCCCTGAGAAGGCATTCTCAGCCTTTCTTGTGTCCCCCATCGCAGATGGAGGAGCTTAACCAGCAGGTGGCCACGAGCTCTGAGCAGCTTCAGAGCTACCAGTCGGATATCATTGATCTGAGACGAACGGTCAACACGTTGGAGATTGAGCTGCAGGCCCAGCACAGCCTGGTGAGTGCAGCTGGGTGGGCCCCTCTCCCCCAGCTCTGGCTCCCGGGCAGCACCGAACGTAGATGCAGGCATTCAGGAAAGAGGAGGAAGAGGAGGCCCAGATTCAGCCACCACAGAAGCTTGCGCAGCTGACCTCTCCCAGGGGGAGCTTTCTCCCAAGACCAGGATCAGAGATAAAAAGGGCATGTTTCACATCTGACACAGGTTAGGTGGCCACTGTCAAACACGACTCCCTGAGAAGGCTTGTTATGAGCTTAGCCTGCCCTGCCCGTCTAAACCCACGCTCCTCGACCCCACGTGCGGGGCTGTTACAAATCCCCATGCCAGGATGGATTAAATCAGAGTCTCTGGAGGTGGGGCCTGGGCCTGGGTCTTTTAAAAAGCCTTGCACGTGACTCTAATGTGCAGCCAGGGCTGAAGGCCACTGATCTCAATGACGCCAAGGGGGGGGCTCCAGGCGAACTCAGAGCCACAGCCTGTAGCCAGGCAAGGCTGAGGAGGGAATAAGCGACTCAGGATCACACAGACCCGGGTTCAAACCCTGGTCCGTCACTTACCAGCTGCTTAACCTTGACCTTTCTGGGCTTCAATTTCTGCAGTGACGTAGGGAGGTGTCATTCCCAGCCCCCGAGGGAGTCTTGTCTCTTCTTGGTTCTTTCTGAACCAGGCTGTGGAAAATAGGTCTGCTCCTCGGGTTTATTTTGTCTTTCCTTTTGCCTTAGAGGGACTCTCTGGAAAATACCCTGGCGGAGACCGAGGCCCGCTATGGCTCCCAGCTGGCCCAGATGCAGAGTCTGATCAGCAACGTGGAGGCCCAGCTGGCCAACATCCGCTGCGATCTGGAGCGGCAGAACCAGGAGTATCAGGTGCTGCTGGACATCCGGGCCCGGCTGGAGTGCGAGATCAACACGTACCGGGGCCTGCTGGAGAGCGAGGACTGCAAGTACGTGGGCCCAGCCCAGGCCGCACAGAGACATGTGGGTCGGGGTCAGCCGAGGCCATAGGAAGCAACTGGATCTACTCTAAGATAGAACCCTGTCATGATCAAGAAGTGATTAGGAAGCTAGTACGATCTGAAGAAAGTCAGGCAGGTGTTTACGCTGCCATCCCCAACCTGGCCTGTTGCAGACCATTCTGTTTGATTCCAAGTCGACAGACTCCTTCCTGGTACCTACCACGTGCCAGGCACCATGGGGGACGCCGAGGTAGAGGACAACAAGGCATCTGCTCTCAAGTGTCTGGGGAGACAGGCAGACGGGCAACTGGAGGTCACACTGGCGGAGGCGGGGGATTGTTGGCGCTTGGGAGGACAATAGGGAGCTTCCTGTGATGAGCTGTGGTGGGAAGGAGGACAGGAAAGTCAGCTGGGGCCCATTCGTGGAGAGCCATGAAGGCCTGGCTGGGGAAGAAGCGCTTTATTTTATAGGCAGGTGGGAGGCCTTTTTTCAAGGAAGAAATGATAGAATTTGCTCAACTATTTCCGCCACTAGAGGGCAAACACCTAGAACTCAGAGACAATATGAAATATTTTTATCCCCTGCTCCTGGCACGTAGTAGACGCTCAATAAACGTTTCTTGACCAAGTCAGTGAGAACTCAAAGCTGCTCTTCAGGAAGATGGCACAGATGGCAGCAGGAAGGACTGAGTAGAGGAAGCAGGCCCTGGCGGTGGTCTAGGTGAGCAGTGGGGGGGCTCTGTCAGGGCAGAGGAGGCACCCGCCCCCAGCCGCTGTGCAGGGAGGCTCGGCAGGGCTTGATGGCTGTCTGGGCGCAGGACACCTCTGGGCCATGGACCACCCGGTGGGCTGATGACTCTCGCAGGCAGTTTCTTATTCTACATTCAGCCTCGCTTCTCTGTCATTCAGAATCTTATCTTCCAGGACAAGGGTTGCAAAGTCAAATGTTTTTCAAGGCCCAGGCGGTTAACATATATGAGTGACATGGGTCGCTGTGAGACTGCGGAGAAGCAGGGAGCTGTGCCCTGTCCAACAAGGGTGCCGTCCCCTCAGGGCCGTTTCTACCCTATGAGACGCAGCTCCGGTATCGCTGGATCTTCTGATTGTTCAAGGGAATCTGGACTTCTTTTACATGTTAAATTCTCCCGATTTTTAAATATTTTCAACAAATTAAAAAATATATAGTGCCGGCCAAATGAAACACATTTCAGGCCGGATGTGGTCCTTGGGCTGCCTGTGCAATCTCTAGGCTGCTTGGCCTCCATCCAATGTTCAGCGTGTTGTTTCTAGTTTTCAGCCCGCAGCTGTCCGTCTCCGAGATCGTCCTTTCTCCTTGTGCCGTGTATTCCTTCTATATCAATTGATTAATTCACCTTATTTAACACATTCTTATGAAGCGCCTGCTCTAGGCTCAGTATATGGGGTGGGCAAATACGCACGGCTGCTGACCTCCCTCCCTAGTGGAGAGACAGACCATAACAGAACAGTCGCAGATCACTCTGGAAGGAGGTACATGGGACCCTAGGGCGAGTGGACACACAGAGATCAGAGGAGGTTTCAAGGAGGATGGAACAGTTGGGTTGAAGGAAGCCACTCTTCATCCCAGAGCAAATGGGAGCCCTTGAAGGTTTCAGGCGGGGGAGGGCACGATGAGATTTGTGTTTGTAGACGGTTACTCTGGCCACTGAGTTGACGATGGTTAGCAGGGGCGAGCGTGGGGTTGGGAAGACTAGTTAGGAGGCCGTTGGGGTTACACAGGCGAAGATGATGGCGGTTGGGACTAGGGAAGCTGGGTGGAGAAGGCACACAGTGGGGTTGAGAGGCGTCGGGGGCAGAATTGACCGGACTTGTTGCTGAGTTGGCTTCCTTCTAACCCCGCCCCACCTGCTTTTCCTCCGCAGGTTGCCCTGTAACCCGTGCTCCACGCCGTCCTGTCCCCCTTGTGCGCCCTCCCCCAGTGTGCCCCGCAGCGTGGTGCCATGCACTGTCGTCGGTGTACCTTGTATTACCTGCCCTCCCGGCCGCTACTGAAGTTCCTCAGCACCGGTGGATCCTGGAGGGACCAGAGCTGGGCGGCTGGTGCCTCCTCAGGATGAGCCTGACCACGGGTGGGTGGCCGCCAAGACAGCAGGGTCCGCCCGGGCCAGCAAGGAACCAGGCACCACGTGCAGCGGTACCAGGAGGAGGGCCGTCCGCAATGCGCCTGCATCCTGCAGGGGGCGCCCTAGCCCCCACCGCTTAGCGCCTGCCCGGCTCACTTCCCCGGCAAATCGCTCTCTTCGCTGATGCTTCTGGTTGTCTCCGCTGCTTCAGGAGCACGTGTTCCGAGTTACCTGGAAAATAAAGCCTCATTTGGTGGTCCTGCAGAGACATCTTTCTCTGTTTGTCACTGACGCTGCTGTATCTGACGGCCAATTCTACACAGTTGGGCTCAAGAGGAAAGTGGCCGATTTCTATATTTATTTCTATGTCCCTTCTGCTTCCATAGGGGCTTCAGAGGTGTTCACTAAAAAGTCCCGCATGCCATAAACCAGTTAAAACTGGGGGATCGGTCCAGAGCCAAGTAATAAAAGAACAGAGGGAGATAATTATGGCAGAAACCCTGGCCAAACTACTGTAATTGAGAATAATACTGTAATAACCCCACCCCTAAACCTCATTACAGCTGGTACAATGGGATCATTCATTCAAAAGATCTTCACCGATTGCCTCGTACGTGCCAGATTCTACATTACGGGCTGGCTAATCCACATGGTAGTCCCCCAGACACCTTGTTAATAATGTCCCATTTAATCCTTGCAACAATCTGTGCAAAACATACCATTATTTTCTCCCCTTTATAAATGAGGACACTGAGGCTCAGAGAGGTTAAGAAACTTGTGCAAGGTCACACAGCTAGTAAGTAGTGGACCCAGAACTCAAATATAGATCTTTAGGCCCCAGAGATGCTCAACCAATTCACATTCTGAGTCCTCACTATTTGCAAACTACAGCTGGGTGCAGGGGATACCAAAAAATGCAAGTGATCCCCACTGTCCAGACACTTCTAATTAAAGAGGGAGCTAAGACCAGTGTGTGTAAGGCCTCATTCCTTCTTCAATAAGGGTCTAATAATAATAATAAAAATAATAATAACCATTGCTACCACTTATTTAGCACTTATGATGCCGCTGGTACTGTGTTGAGCACATCACATAAATTAACTTGTGCGGTTTCCTGAACCCTGTAAGGCAGGCATCGTGTCCATTTTACAGATGGGAAATGGGGATGTGGAGAGTGGTTTAGTCAGTTGCCCAAGGTTACATGCAAGGACAAAAGTTTGAACTCGGGTCTAGCTGCTTCCACTGTGGCATTATTCTAACCACTCTGCTACATTGCCCAGTTCCTACCTAGAAGGAGCATGTGCTGACAAAGATCGGGAGAAAGTACCAGCTTGGGGAGAGCAGAAAAGGCTTTATGTAGCTGGTGGCATTTGTGATGGGCCTGGAAGGTTGACTAGAATGTCTACAGAGCAAGAGAGGTATAGGTGTGTGGGGTGTGCAGGAAAGCAGAAGTCACGCCGAGGAGCCTTGAGTGGCTCTGCTGGCTGGAGCAGCCAGTTCCTGTGAAAGACTGGTGGTCATAAAGGTCAGGTGGTAGGAAGGTGGGAGCCTGTGGTGGGCCTTGGTTTGCCCACGAAGAGCCTGGACTCCGTCCTGAAGGAGGTGAGAGGGCTGCTGCAGGATCTGAGCCCAAGGATGACATGACCGGAGTGGTATTCTAGAAAGCCTCACCAAGGAGTGTAAACAGGATGGCCGAAGGCAGGGAGGAAGCTGAGGAATAGCGTGAGGAAGATGTGAACAGGGTCTCAACTAAGGCGATGACAGTGGGGATGGAAGAATAAGGGATCAGTTTGAGAGATTCAGTGAAGGACCTGAGGGTATGATTGGCCAGGGCAGATAAAGAGGAGACAGCCAGGAACAGGAATCTCGAACACCTTTCTGAACATCACCCTCCAAACGCATAGTTCTTCCTTAATGAGCTGAGGTGATGTTTCTATTAAGGATCTGCCTTCTGGACCTGCCAAGAAGTGATGAGAAGTGGATTGGATCCTGAAGCTGCCTGGGGCTCTCTGGACATGATCCTGCATGCATGTCTGGCAGACAGGGTCATGAGCCTGACCGGAGACACAAACACACCGCTGAGCCAGGCGGGGGAGAGGACGGCGGCGGTGGGGGGTGGTGGGGAGGATTTCAATGAGCTGGAAGGCCAGGGAGAGCAGCTCCTGGCCAACTGGGTGTTCTGATGCCTGAGTGCAAACCAGCCGTCCTTCATTCCAATCCCTGTGCAAAATTTGTCTAGAATGTACTTAGCTTGGTAAACATAGTAGACTGAACAGAACCAAATCTTTGGCTCTAGAATCCTAGGCCTGATCTGTCCAATATGGTAGCCACTAGCTTCATGTGGCTATTTAATTTTTAATTAAAATGAAATTAAATAAAATAAAAAAATTCGGTTCTTCGGTTGCATTAGCCATATTTCAGGTGCTCGGTACCTACATATGGCTAGTGGTACCATACTGGACAGTGCAGACAGAGAGTATTTCAGAAGAGAATATTGCAGAAAGTTCTATTAGATGGCACTGTCTTAAACTGTCAGAATCACCAGGAACCTTACGGACGATCTGGCCCAGGCTCTCGCATTTACAGACGAGGCGTCTAAGGCCCAGCGAGATGGATGGAAAGATTTGCTCACAGACATGCAGCCCACGGGCGGGAATTGAAGCCAAGCACTCTGACGCCAAGCCTAGCGGGTCTCTCCTAGCACTTTATTGCTTTCTCCAAGCACCAAGGTTTATTATTCTTTCAGGCTAACAAATATTTCCCCTATGCCCTTCTTTCGTGTTCCTAAGAAGAGACATTTTCTCTGAGATGCTGAAACTCTCCCCTGGGAATACAGTTCTCCTTTAAAAAAATAGCTAGCAACCACCCCCTCAGACTCTCCCTGTCTTTTGGGGCCTCAGGCTGTGGCCAGAGCTGCAGCAGGAGCAATCACGCAGGAGTTGCGGACACTCTGGGGACTTCTGCAGGCTCCTTTCCCCAGCATGGATTGTCCAATCTAACCTGGTCCCTGTTTCCACACCCGTGTGTCACTCCGACTTGCCAAGACCTATCAGACCACCCAAATGCCTGTTAAAGATTTTACAGGAAACCAAGCTGCACAGCACAGGGCCACGAGCGCCGCCCCCTGCCGGAGACGGATGGCCACCATCTTCCGTGTTTGGAAGGTACTCCAAGATAGAGACGTCACGAGCTAAGCTCCCACCTGGCCCATCTCTCTTATTTGACGGATGAGGAAGGCGTGGGCGTAGATCTTGAGAAATGTTTATGCCCACCAGCACCAGGACCTCCTGGAAACTGGACCCAGTGCTACGTGTGGGGATTCTCAGAGGGGCTCTGTCCTCATATCAAAGCATTTGGATTTAATTAACTCCGGTTTATAGCGAAACTTAGGCAAGGCCACGGTAAGGTAATAAAACCTCTCACATATTTGATGTCTGGGAGAAGTTCCCAGAGGCAGCGGGATCCTCCTTGAGTGGGGATGGGAAAGAAAGGGCCAGTGTTTCAAAGACACAACTTTCTCTGAGGCCATTAAAGAGTCTGGGCCTCACTTCTGCCTGTCTCTGCCCCAGAGCAAGGCCCCTTCCTAGGGGTAGGGAGGACGGCCCACTGGGCAGAGCTGCCTTCAGGAAGCCTGGAGAATGGCCCAGGGGTCAGACACAGTGACCGGGAGGCTGGGTGGTTTGCGGACTGAAATGCACTGAATGGTACCCTCCCTACTACTCTGGGAAAACTTTTATAATATGATCAAAAAACGATATGCCAGGCCATACCTGGGAAAATTGTTAACAAGAAAACAATTCTCTTTTGGGTTTCGTAAATTTAGTATATGAATGCAATGATCTCAATTTTGCTAAACAGAAAGTTCCTAAGATCATTTGATGTCCATCTTTTTGAACAATTTTCCTAAGATCATTTGATGTCCATCTTTTTGAACAATTGGTCGAGATAAGTTTATTTCCATATAGCCCTGTCTCTTAGTCATACATAAGTGACTGAACACACCAATGAGCATCTTGCCATAATGGCAACAGTCAGTGTCTTTGGCTTCAGAAAACCTGGGCTGGGATCCCCATTCTAGCACTAGCGTGTGTGCGATTTTGGTAGATTGCCCAAACCCCCGTGCATCTCAGTTTCCTTTCCCCCTTGGGAAGGAGGACTAATTCTCCCTTCTACACACAATTGGGACAGGATGCACGTGAAAATGCCTCTCGTGATGCCTGGTGTATTGTAAGTGCTCAATAAATGCTGGTTAAAGAAACTCTGCTTTTCCAACAAGTGCCCCCATCTTCTGATTCTCCTCAGTGCCGACGGCAGCTCAGTCACTTTCTGAGCCATTGGAGCCCGTGTTTCAGAAACACCAGGAGTGGCAGCAACACCACCACATCATCACGTGGGCAGCTTTGCTTGGCTCCAAGGTTAAAGAGCATCTGGATGGACTTCTCATCTTGGTCTAACCACCTCGGTTAGTGGAGGGTCCGTGTCTGAGGCCCAGTGTCCAGTTCTGGAGTCTACCTGATGGCGCCTTTCCTCCGCTCCAGCCCTCCGGGTCCAGAGCGCACTAAAGGTCTCCCCACGTGCTCCGAGGGATCCACTTGTTAGGCCTCATTTATCGTGCTGCGCAGAGCAGGGGTCGGTGAACTACAGCTCGCAGGTCAAATACAGCTGTTGCCTGTTTTGGTAAATAACATTCTCCTGGAACGCAGCCACACCCATTCGCTTCCGAATCGTCTATGCCCGCTGTGTGCCACACCGGCAGGGTTGGACAGTTGTAGTGCAAAGAGACTCTATGGCCTGTAAAGCCAAAAATATTTACCATTTTCCCCTTTAATAGAACAGGTTTGGGGTAGAGGAAAGAGAATGTGCTGGATTAGGAGCCCCCAGTCCCAGCCTGGGCCTTGTAGCTGACTTGCTCTGTGCCCCTGGGGAGCTCACAGCCCTTCTCGTCTCCAGCTGAAGCAGGAAGGGGTTGAATTTGCTCTCTTGGTTTGGTTCTAACACCTTAGCACCCCTTCATTCTGTTGTTCCGCCTCTCTGGGGGCTCCCCCCTGAGGCTAGAGGCCCCCACGCTCAGTGAACTCTGCCTGTGAGATGACTCCTGCATCTTAAAGGCAGTGCCACTCCAGAGGGACACCAGGTGGTCGCTCAGGGACCAGAGTTTAACTTCTCCATGGGGTATCTTTAAAGAGATGACATGAAACATCCCTTCTAGCAACAGAAGCCTGTAACACAGAGTCCAAAAGCAGCCGCCTCTCTCTTTTGTGAGG